GGGGTGGGGGGTGGTTACAGGGTGTTGGCTTCTGCTTTGCGCTCAGCCAGTGTTCTGTTCCCTTCTCTCCCCTTACCAGTGTCCTGATTGCAACTTCACGAGAGACCCTGAACCTGAAGCACCCAGCCAAGGCATGTGTGGATTTCCAACCTTCAGGAATTTTGTGAGATAATATTTATTGCTGTTTTAAGCCTGAATGTTTGGGAGCGATTCATTTCACAGCGATAGATGACTAAGTCATCTCAGACAATAAAGGCCTATTTACAGATGAGGAAACTGAGGCCCAGAGAAGGAGCTGAACTTTCTAGAGTTGCACAGGAGTTCTCATGGGTGCTCTCAGGTGTCCGGCTTGACAGCTGTGTCATTTAGACAAGAGCTTTCTTACTCAGCCCCACTCATAGGTCCCAGCCTCTTCCATGTCCTCCCAGCCTCCAGTCCCTCCCCTCTAGTCCATCCCCCCCACATGGACTTAGAAGGGTCTTACTATATACCCAGAGCTGACCATGGCCTTCCCCTGCTCTCAGCCCTCCCATGGCTCCCTGGTAATGAAAAATCTCTTACACGTTTATAAAAAATATTTATTTATTTATTTCAGAGAGAGGGGGAGAGAGAAATAGCATGGGCAGAGGGAGGGAGAGGGAGAATCTTCAAGCAGATGCTCCACGGAGCAGGGAATCCAACACAGGGCTCTATCCTAGAACCCTGATATCATGACCTGAGCTGAAACTAAGAGTTAGCTGCTTAACTGACCAAGCCACCCAGGTGCCCCTCTCTTACACGTTATTACAAGACAATGAAGCTGGGGCACCTGGGTGGTTCAGTCGTTTAAACATCTGCCTTTGGCTTGGGTCATTATTCTGGGGTCCTGGGCTTGAGCCCTGGGTGGGGGCTCTCTGCCCAGCGGGGTGTCTGCCTCTCCTTCTGCCTCTCCCACCCCTGCTTTCTCTCAAATAAATTAATAAAACAAAAAAGGACAATGAAGCTAATAGAATCTGCTATTTACAGTACATCCAAAGAGGAGAGAAACTGGTATTTTAAGACTCTTCTAACAAAGAAAATATAATGTACAGATATTTTAAAGTTATAGACTTATATTACAAGACGTAAGTGATAGGTGGAATCTGGGTGTGGCTTCCCTGGGGCCCCTGCTTCACATTCTCTCCCAAGGCTATCAAAAAGGGGTCAGCTGGGGTTCTGGTCTCATCCAAAGTTTCAGCTGGGGAAGGATCCATTTCCAACCATGTTTTTTTTTTTAAAAAGATTGTATGGACTTATTAGAGAGAGAGAGAGAGAGAACATGAACAAGGGGAGTGGGAGAAGGAGAAGCAGAAGCAGACTCCCCTCTGAGCAGGGAGCCTAATGTGGGGCTCAATTCCAGAGTCTCGGGATCATGATCCGAGCCAAGGGCAGATGCCCAACCAATTAAGCCACCCAGGCGCCCCCATTTCCAACCATGCTTCCATAGTTATTGGGAAGACTCAGTTCCTGGAGATAGGTTGGACTGTGGCCTCCATTCCTTGCTGGCTGCTGGCCACAGGCTATCCTTACTTCCTTGTCGTGGGACCTCTTCATAGGGAAGCTCACAACATGGCATCACAGTGAGCAAACAGGAGTGTAAGGAGGGCTGACGTCCGTCTATTATCACTTAGTCTCAGAAGGGACATCCCAACCCCCCTGGCCTTTAGCAGATCACTAGATCCAGCACACCCACAGGAAAGGGGAGACACAAGGACATGAAGACCAGGAAGTAGAGGTCACTGAAAGCCACCATAGAAACCAGCACCGGGAGATGAGGAGCCCTTTATGTTGTGGATGCAAAGTTATTCAGAAGCAGTGGGCCCTGGGGGCTGACCTAGGAAATTTTGCAGGGTGGGCAATACTAGGTAGGATTTGGGGATTCTGTTTTGCTTCGACGTACTGAAAATGAATCCATCTCTCATGTTCTAAAAGCTGTGGTATCAGGTGTTCCGGTCAGCTACTGCTGCATAACAAATCATCCCAGAGCTTCGCAGCTTCAGACCACAGGAATCCTCTTATTATCTTGCATAGCCCGTGGGTGATGGAATCAGGAAAGGCTTAGCTGGGCAGTTCCAGCTTGGGGCCGCTCAGTGTTTTTAGTCAGGCAGCAGTGGGGCTGGAACAGTAGAGTCCGTGGCGGTCGGAACCCACTGGCTGAGAATCTCCTTCCTCACAGAGTCTCCAGGCTTTCCGCATCGTTTCTGTGTGGGTTAGTTCGGGCTTTGTTGTGGCTTGGTGGTTTCAGGATGTCTGGGCTTCGGGCATTATGGCTGAAGGTTTCAAGAGTATTTCAGCTCACAAGGACGACGTTGCATGGCCTTTCCTGACAACCGCACAAGTCATGGGGGTTGACTTTCTGCCATGTTGCAGTGACTATGGCTGAGTCATGAGCACACTCAGTTTCAAGGGAAGAGGAACGAGAGGAACTCCAACGAGAGGGGAAGTGAGTGGGACAGGAGAGATCTCAGGAAAATGCAAGGCAGCCCACTAATTCAGCTTTAGGAAAGGCTAATGTGACAGTGACTTAAACATCAATGAAGCTTATTGACCTATCATGGGAAGTCCAAGAAGATGCCATCCCATGTGATATGAACATAGGGAGGGAAGTTCCAAGGTCAGGGAGTGTGTGTTTAACTTTCTATGTCAGCTTGGCTGGGCCACAGAATATCCAGAAATCTGGCCTTATATTTGCTGGGTGTTTCTGTGAGGGTATTTTGGGTGACATTAACATTTACATTGGTGACTTAGTAAAGCAAACTAAAAGTTCCTTCTTGTGGGTGAGCCCATTCAGTCAGGGGAAGGCCTGACTAGAACCAAAAGGCAGACCCTCCTCAGAGTAAGAAAGAATTCTTTCTGCCTGACTGCCTCTGAACTGGGACACCAGCCTTCCTCCTGCCTTCGGGCTCACGCGGAAACATCAGTTCTTCCTGCATCTCAAGCTGCAGGCCTCCTGAGGAGACGTGCACCTGGTACTCCAGCCTTTGGACTTGAGACTGGAACTAAACATCAGTTCCCCTGGGTCTCCGGCTTGCCAACTCCCGCTGCAGCCCTCAGGACCTGACCACTTCCATTGTCGTGTCTTTCTTCTAGCTCTCTAGCTTGTGGCTCCACCATCCGCAAACGTGGCTTCTGTCTCATGGTGTAAGACTGACACACCAATGCCCAACAACACATCTCTACTCCAGTATCAGGGAGAGGTTGAAAGGGAGACCATCCTCTTTGCTTAAAAAAGGCCGTAACTCAGACGCTGCATACATCCCATTGGCCAGCACCTACCCATGTGGCAAGACCTAGTTGCAAGGGATCCTGGGAAATGTAGTCTTTAGCTGAGCAGCCATAGGTCCTTCGAATACTTTCCCATCATTTAAGTGAATGATTACAGTGATGTTAGCCATGTTTGCCACGCAAAAGATGGAAACCAAGCAAGCAGAAGGCTGAAACCAGTGTAGTGATAGCTGAACAATGTTTAAGGGGACTTGGAATAGAAAATAATAGAAAACTCATTTGATTGACGTCTGATCTCTCTTATTTGCTCCAAGTTGGAACTGCTAGTGTAAATCCAATGTATCCATCTCCATCTTCTAGAGCCTGGTAGAGTTGGACTTCCTGGGCTCTCTCTGGCTCGTCAAGGTCGTGTGACTAGCTTTTGCCAATGAATTACAAGAGATTATGTATGTTGTTTATGTGTTAGGGCATTTAAGTTTTGGTACCAAAGCCTCCAGAACTTTCTTTCCTTGGCCACCGTGACTGGCAGGACTCCAGATGCTAGTGGCTCTGTTAGCCTAGATACCAGACGTATACAGACCAGAACCCTCAGCTAATACATAACACCAGTGAGACATACACCTGTTTGCTAAGTTGAGATCTGGGCGTTGTTACTGCAACATCACCGAACTTACACAAACTATTACAGAAAAATAGGAAAGTTAGATCTTGCTTAGAGCACAGAGTTAACCCTAATTGGCTGATCAGCCACCCACACATAGCCCCCGACCAACTGCTTGTAATTTTAGTGGGACAGACATCCTAAACCTGCTACACAGAGGGGCCTATGACCCAGGCTTTGCCAATAAGGCCACTGAAACTGAAGGCAAGGGGTGCCTGGGTGGCTCAGTCGGTTAAGCATCTGTCTTTGGCTCAGGTCCTGATCCTGGGGTCCTGGGCTATCAACCCCCATACTGAGCATGGACCCTGCCTCTCCCTCTCCTGCTTCCTCCCTGCTTGTGCTCTCTCTCATGTTCTTAAAAAAATAAAAAGAAAGAAATGGAAGGGAAATCCCTTCTCTCCCGTTAAAATGACTTTTTGTACCATAATGGAGGCCTGGAGTTTCTAGACACTGGTTTGGAAAAAGCATGACCTCAAAGGGAAGGGCCATCGGTTAACATTTGTTGAGAATCTACCCTGCCCCCAGGGGCTGTTCATATACCATCTCATTTAACCCTCACCAGAGGGGGGTCAGTACTGTCTTTTCTTTACTGAGGAGGAGACAGGGGCAGGGAGAGGCTGCAGGAAAGTACATTTAGGGACACACCTCCTACCCACAGGCGAGTCCTTGCCCAGGTCACACAGGGTATGGTAAGCAAAACAAGCTCTGCCCACAGGGGTCTGCTCTAAGAGCTTGTGAAAAATGTGGTCTCGGGATACCTGGGTGGCTCAGTCGGTTAAGCTGCCGCCTTCAGCTCAGGTCATGATCCCAGGGTCCTGGGATTGGGTCCCACATCAGGCTCTCTGCTCAGCGGGGAGCCTGCTTCTCCCTCTGCCTGTTGCTCTCTCTCTCTCTCTCTCTCAAATAAATAAATAAAATCTTTAAAAAAAATGTGGTTCTGACCCTGTCTTTCTCCCCTTCCCCACATCCTTCTACCAATTTATTCTCTAGTGACCCCTCTGGCAACCCCTTTGCTCCAGCTCCCACCAAACCACCATTGCCACAATCTCTGTGGGAGTCACGCCTTTTTTATTCACGGCACACGTCAGCCTTTGTCTTAGGGGAAGGTGACTCCAATGGCCTTCCTCACTTCTTCAAGGATGTCAGCCAGGAGTTCACTTTCCGCCAGGGGCATCACAGGACTTTCCTTCAGACCTGGGGGAGAGTACAGTTAGGGACCCCTTCTGACTCACGCCTTTAAGATCAAAAGAACTACCATTCCCTGAATCCTGTGAGGCACAGTCATACATGGTGCTGGCAGACGGATGCCCCAGGGGATCCTGGGAATTGTAGTTCTAGACAGCTACTTAGAGAAGCTGAGGGTTAGGGAGCAGCCCTCTTTTTCTACCAGGTTTGCCCCTCCACCCTGCCACCCTCTCACCCATCCTTCACATCCTTACCCTTTCGCAAGCACTCCCGGACATGCTTGGCCTCATAAACCATGCCCGCTCCATTTGGAAAATTGAGTTCCTTGCCTGGGGTAGGGGGCAGCGGGAACTCCTTACACTCTCCCTTCACCACCAGCTCTGCTGGGCACCAGCAGGGCTCGAGGACCTGGTGTGGAGAGAAGAGGTGGCTACCGTGGGCTCCAGCCTAAGGATATTCGGGGGGCCTCCCTCTCACACCTGGTGGCTGGGAGCTGGTAGGAAGAAGGCTTGTCCCCCCTCTTCCCCAATGCTGGGGATTTGCTTCTCAGCCACGGAACTGTCACAATAGAAAACTGTCCGTTCCCCTCCCCAGGGGCAAACCCCTCTCTAACCAGATGCTTAGGCCTCGAGGACGGCTTATCTCTACATGTGTGTGAATCTCCTTTGCAAGGAGGAGACTTAGACAATCCAGCATCTTCTTATTTACTAGGAGACTTGATTTTTTGGCCCTAGAGCCCCCGGAAGCCAACAATATTCCCATTACCAAGTCTAGGCCAAACTGGAGACAGAGATGTGCCCAGGCAAGGTCCAAATTCTTCTGCTAAGAACAGGATTTCTTTCTAGCAACAGAGCCCCAGGAAGCCCAATGAGGCTGATCTTTGGTAATGCCTGGACCCAATCCTGGAAGCAATTCCACAGGCCACATCGGCCCTCTAAGCATGGTTGATAAGAACTGGTTTCTCCTCAGGCTCGAGGATTTTTTTTTTAGATTTTTTTTTAAATTTTATTTGACAGATCACAAGCAGGCAGAGAGGCAGGCAGAGAGAGAGAGGAGGAGGAGGCAGGCTCCCCGCTGAGCAGAGAGCCCGAATGCGGGACTCGATCCCAGGACCCTGGGATCATGACCCGAGCCGAAGGCAGAGGCTTTAACCACTGAGCCACCCAGGCGCCCGGCTCAAGCATTTTTGACAGGCCAGGAAATTCACCTTCAGGAAGGAGCCTAGAGGTCCAAACCCATCCCATCACCTGGTGGTCGAGGATGGATTCCTTAGCAATGCTGGGGGAAAGGCTGATTTAGCCCCTAGCCGGGTCCGGCAACCACAACTGGCCCACTCCTGTTGCGAGGGGCCCCGGTTCCCAGCTCGGTCAGTCGCACCTCACCTGGGCCATGCCCTTGGTGCCGCTCACTGAGGCCGTGTTGGAGAGCGGAGCACAGATGCTGCAGGCAAAGCTGGCGTGGAGCTCTCCTGGGTACTGGAGGAGCACGGTGACCCTGTCGTCCACACCTGGGGAAGGCACAGGACAGGAGAAAGCCTGGTCTCGAATCCCGCCTATGGAACACTGGGGCACCTAGGTGGCTCAGTCATTGGGCGTCTGTCTTTTGGCTCAGGTTATGATCCCGGGGTCCTGGGATTGAGCCCCGCATCGGGCTCCCTGCTTGGCAGGAAGTCTGCTTCTTCCTCTCCCACTCCCCCTGCTTATGTTCTCTCTCTTGCTGTGTCTCTCTGTCAAATAAATAAAATCTTTAAAAAAGGGGGGGGGGGCGCCTGAGTGGTTCAGTGGGTTGGGCCGCTCCCTTCAGCTTGGGTCACGATCCTGGGATCGAGTCCCATATCCGGCTCCTTGCTCGGCGGGGAGAGTGCTTCTCTCTCTGCCTCTCCTTGCCACTCTGCCCGCTTGTGCTCTCGCTCTCTCTCTGACAAATAAATAAATAAAATCTTAAAAAAAAAAAAAAAGGAGACCTCGTCTCTAACACAGCAGTGAAAAAAGAATGAGGCACTAAAAACACACGTGCTGGGCACCTGGCTCAGCCGGTTATGTGTTGGACTCTTGGTTTCGGCACAGGTCGCGATCCCAGGATCCTGAAATCGAACCCGAAGTCAGGCTCCCTACTCAGCAGGGAATCGGCTTCTCTCCCTCTTCCTTTCCCTCTGCTCCTCCCCCCACAACACATGCTCTCTCCCTCCCCCCCAAAATAAATAAATACTTAAAAATTTTTAAAAACAACAACAATTACAAAAAAACACATATGCTAAGTGAAAGCAGACGCGAAAGGCTGCGTATTGTCGAATGCCACTTGCGTGAAGTGTCTCATGTCTGGCAAATCCCCAGAGCCAGAGAAGAGATGAGTGTGGCTGTGGAGGGCTCAAGGGTATGGGAGATGGGAGAATAATTCCAGGCCATGGGATTGTACACTTTGAATAAATACACTGTACGGTATGTGAATTATATCTCAGTAAAGCTGTTACCAAAATCAATGTATGCTGAAAAAAAAAGGGGGGTGCACCTGGGTGGCTCAGTCAGTTAGGCATCTGCCTTCGGCTCAGGTCATGACCCCAGGGTCCTGATATCAGGTCCCTCACTGGGCTCCCTGCTCAGCGGAAAACCTGCTTCTCCCTCTCCCTCCTGCTCTGCTTGCTTGTGATCTCTCCCTTTGTCAAATGAATGAATAAAATCTTAAAAGAAAAAAGCTTGCATACTGGGGCCTGCTTTTTACTGGACTTGAAACTGAGCCTACCATGTGAATGAGGCACACTAGCCAGATGAAAAAAAGAGAGAGACTGACTTCATTAACTTTATGACAACCTCAGTTCCCCTTTCTTTCTTTGTCTCTCTTTACTCCCAACGTGGGGCTCGAACTTTCAACCCCAGGATCAAGAGCGCACATGCTCTACTGACTGAGCCAGCCCGGTTCCCTTCTGACCACCTTATTATTGACATTTTACCAGTAACCAGGCTTCAGAGACGTTAAGTGCCTTGGCTAAAACCACACAGCAAATCCCAGGACAGAGCCTGCCCACACTCTCCACTCTGATGCTCTTTGACTTTGGGTAGGAAGTTCCTATAGCTGTCTAACCTGATTCTTAGGGGCTAGGAGGCTCATCCCTAGTTCAGTGCTCCCAGTGAGGGAGGATCATCCTTATCGTGCTTATACAGTCCAGGATAGACCGTACCTGTTTCATAGAGCCTGCCCATGGCTGAAATCTTCTCGGGGCTTCTGCCCACCAAAGACCATGGAGATGAACTGGACACAGTAGATACCAAAGTCCAACAGGGCACCGCCAGCCTGGGCCTTGTCTATGATCTGGGGTATGCCGGTGAGGTCCTTCCCAAATTCTGCCCGAGCCACCCGGAGATCCCCCGACACGGCCGACCTCAGAGCTTCTATAGCAGGAAAGAAGCGTGTCCAGATGCCCTGCACACCACAGAGGGGAGAAAGCAGGACAATGGAAAAGGAAGGAAAGACGTCAGAACCCATGAGTTAACCAACCAGTTCCTCTCCCTTCTGGAGCCCCAGCATGAGGGACTCCCCGCTGCTCCCCACTGTCCTCTCAAGAGCCCTCCCTCTCCCTTCCACAGCCCTCATCAGTCCCCAGGTTGTGTCCTGTCCCTGAGTCTCTCTGCCTCTCTCCTCCCCTCTCCATTCCCAGGGCCCCAACTCTGGCCTTGTCCTTTCTAGTTGGACCATTCCTCCAGTCTCCCAGTAGTTATGGGCTCAGTTGTGTCGCCACCAAATTCAGGGTGAGGTCCTAACTGGCTCCCCTCCGCCCAACCCCAGGATCTCCCAGTGTGGAGATGGGGTCTTTAAAGGGGTAATTAGGTTAAAATGATGTCATTGTGGCAGGCACTGACACTGAGGAAGGACCACCTGAGACACAGGGAGAGGAGAGCAATCTCCAAGCCGAGGACGGAGGCCTTAGGAGAAACCAGCACCTCGATTGCGGACTTCTAGCTTCCAGAAGTAGGAGAAAATAAGTCTCTGTTGTTGAAGTCCCCCAGTCTGTGGTGGTACTTTGTTATCGCAGCCCTGGCAACCGAATACACAGGGTCTCCCTACTCCAGACCACCCTCCACGTGGTCCCAGAGGCAGCTTTCCCACTCCTAGAGTTGGCCCTGTCTCAAATTACTTGCCCCACCCAAGATCACAGAGCTAGGAACCGGTGAGATGGAATCTAGAGTCTCCTCTGACTCTAAAGTCTGTCCAAGGTCAAGTTCAACTAAAGACATGAAATCTGCCCACTCTTATTTTCTGGAAGTCTTAACTCTGCTTTCCCTCTCTGGCCCGTTTACCTGGGCACTGTACTTTTCCTTTATGGCTTGGGTCAGTTCCTACCTGCGGGAAACTTCCTTGACTATCCCCCATGCTGGGCTGATGCCTCTGGGTTCAACTGCCCAGTGCTGTATCTACAAAAGTCTGTGCAACTGGGCATCGCAATAGCCCCTTTCTGTGACCATGGCCGACCTTGAGCTCATTGAAAAACTGAGTCTGTGTCTTAACCCATTACGAATGCAGAGTTCCTAGGGTTGGATCTGAAACACAACTGGAGCTAATAAAAACAAGGAAGCAATAAATTTAGCACTTTGGCACTGCCGAGGCACAGTGAGAACCAGAAGCACCAAGGAACCAGAGTAAATCTGGACTATCTCCTCCCTGTGCATAGAGAACTTTGCAGACTGGGAGCAGTACTGGGCACAAGACAGCTAGCTAGGACAGGGGGAAGTAAGAGGCAGCTGTTGCCACTATTGGCAGAACCTATGGCAAGGCAGCATCTAAGAACCAGGATACTCCTTAATGTGAAAATAGCTCCTAAAGGTCATTTGGTAGCCATCTTAACTGCTGGCGCTATCTAGCGCCATTGGGCAACCATTTTAATTACTGGCACTCTGCAAACTGTCAAAGGTCCCATAGAGGTAGCCATGTCTGATAAGGGCAAAAGCAAAGACAGGTTGACCTTGAGAGTTGGTAAGGTAGAGGTGCCCTGGTCCTTCTGATCAATATCCTTGGAAATCCCCCCAAACTCAGCCTATTGCTGTTCTGTGCCACTTTTTCTCTAAAAAGCTGACAAAATACCGCTCAGGGGGCTGAAGTTTGCTAAGCAAGGGCTCTCACTCCTGACAGATGTTGCTAGTAGAGTTCATGGCCCAGCTCAACTACATTCTGGAAAACACACCAACAATAGTTCCCTTTGCCGCCGTCTTTGTTCTTGACAAACCCTTCTGTTGTGTTCCTCCAAAAAAGTCCACTGGCAGCCATGTTAAGTAATGGCAAGAAGCACTCTGTTGGAGGTTGGAATGTCCCCTTCACCCTCACCTCCATGAGAAAGAAGTCTCAGGATTGGGCTTCGGCAACCGCAGAGGTCATGCCCATGGGCTTCTCGCACAGAACGGCCTTGCCTGCTGCCAGGCATAGCAACACTGCGGCCTTGTGCTGGACTTGCTGGGTGCTGATGTAGGCCACCTCTGGACTGGAAGGAAGGAGGGAGAGACATTAGGAGCCCTGGCCACCCCAGACGTCCTGGACCTGCCCCTAATGTCGAGGCCCCGCCCCCAACAAGCTAGGAACTGGGGTCCCACCGACCAAGGACAGTCAGTCCCACCCTAGCGGTCAAGCCTCGTGTCCCATTAGGAAGGAGCTAACCATTCTCTCCTATAACTCATTTTCTTCAGATTATTTCCAACCTTCCAAAATGATCATGAAGTCATTTGTCATGATACCACCAAGAGGCAGATACTGTTATTTCGCCTGTTTTACAAATGAGGAAACTGAGAAGGGCAAGCAGAAGAGGAAAATGCCAGTTCCGTTGCTGTCCAGCTCTAACGTCCTGCCCCCCCCCCCCCATCCAGGCCACTCCAGAACACAGGAGCCCAGGCCACACAGCTTACTTAAAGCCAGAACAGGGGCGCCTGGGTGGCTCAGTGGGTTAAAGCCTCTGCCTTCAGCTCAGGTCATGATACCGGGGTCCTGGGATCGAGCCCCACATCAGGCTCTCTGCTCAGCGGGGAGTCTGCTTCCCACACCACCCCTCTCTGCTTACTTGTAATATCTGTCTTTACAGATACTATAAATAAATAAATAAATAAATAAATAAACAAACAATAATTATAAAAATTATATTATTATATAATTATATTATAAATTATTACATTATAATTATAATTATAATATAATATATTATATAATATTATATAATTATAATATATTATAATTATATAATATTATATAATTATAAATTATTATATATAATTATATATTATAAATAAAAATTATATATAATTATATATTATAAATAATAATTATAATAAATAAATAAATAAATGAAATCTGGGGCGCCTGAGTGGCTCAGTGTGTTAAAGCCTCTGCCTTCCGCTCGGGTCATGATCCCAGGGTCCTGGGATTGAGCCCTGCATTGGGCTCTCTGCTCGGCAGGGAGCCCGCTTCTCCGACACCCCCCACGCCCCCGGGCCTGCCTCTCTGCCTGCTTGTGATCTCTGTCAAATGAATAAATAAAATCTTTTAATAAATAAATAAATAAAATCTTAAAAAAAAAAAAAAAAAAAAAGCCCGAACAGGGGTGCCTGGCGTGCCTGGGTGGCCCAGTTGGTTAAGCGTCGGCCTTCGGCTCAGGTCATGATCCCTGGGTTCTGGGATCGAGCCAGTATGGGGTTCCCCGCTCAGTGGGGAGCCTGCTTCTCCCTTTCCCTCTGCAGCTCACCCTGCTTGAGCTCTGCTACGCTCTTTCTCTCTCAAATGAATGAGTGAATGAGTGAATGAATAAAATAAATAAATAAAAATCTTAAAAAGAAAAAAAAAAAAGTCTTAAGAGGCTCACAAATTCAGGCCCCTTCCAAACCACGGACACCTTGTTAACAAACGCAATTTCTTGCTAGACTGTTAATCGCAGACCCAACTCGTTCCTACAGTTCTGTCCCCCCAGCCCCAGCCCCTTCCAGAAGCACACAGGGTTTGGGCCATCCCGCGGAGCCTTGTTTATCCTACGGGGCAGCCCAGAGCCAGCGCCCTGGTGGCTTCGGCTGCGTGTGTCACTCACCCACATTCGGGTCTTTGGCCAGCTCCTCATAGGACCCATAGGCCTTGCGGATGTCATGTTTCCTCGAAAACTCCTTCGCCCGGCTCAGGTCTCGGGCTGCTACCGCCACCACCTGGAAGGACGCTAGAGTCAGACTTGGGAGGCTGCGGCAGGTGGATGGGAGGGAGGTTGATGGAGAAGGGCCCGGGATAAGAAAAATTACGTCCCCCAGGATGCAAAGAGAAGGGGTCCCGGGGGAGGACGTGACGGGGGCTGGATACGGGTCCTGGAAAAGAGAGATCTGACGCAAGCGATTATTAAATCCCCTAATACCTAAATTTGTTTTCTTCGCAGTAGTTCAGAACAAACCCCTCCCGAACTCGACGAAAGTCGAGTTCACGGGACAGAAGTAGGGAGAAAGGAGTAGGGTACCCTGGCTCCCTCCTCCCTCCTCCCGCAGACCCAGGAGTCCCGGTTCCCAGGCCTTCTCTTCCAGAGGATTCCAGAGAGAGGGTGGACCTGGTGCTCGGAGCGAGGCAGCTTCGCAGCACGGTCGTGAAGTCGCAGGAGATAAAACCGACTGACACGATGCCCCAGCGCACCGCCATCGCCAAAACCTGGGGTCCCAAGGTCTTGCCACCTGCGCCTAGAAATTAAAAACCTGGTGCCCCGCCCATCCGGGGGCGTGGTCATTTCTCCGCCTCTTGCACCTACGCCACTTCTCATTGGCCACTAGGCCTGCGCACCCCTCCAGTGCGGACGCAAAGGAGAAGGTTATTTAAATCTAGCAGCGCACCATTGGCTCTGCTTTATGAGGGGGTGGGACCAGAAATTCTCCCTGAGTCGCCGATGGAGACTTCTAACCACGTGAAATTTTTTTTCCTTTTGCATCTCTACGGGCAACATTGGGGTTGAAGTCCCCACCGACCACAAGAGTTGCACGCTCTACCCACACGCCAGCCAGGCCCTGCAGGAGTGGGTGGGGAGGCTTCCTCCCTTGTCACCTTCGGAGCTGGCGCCCTTCCTCCTTCCCCTAACTCTTTCGCTCCAAAAGCCGGGCACCCTTAGGAATTGCCTGGGGGGGGGGGGGGGGGGCAAGATAGTAATAGCAATTACTATAGCTATAATTGCTATAAAAAATTACTAATATTTCTAGAACGCCTGTCGTTGCCAGGCCCCCAGCTCCGTGCTTTACTTTCCTCCCTTCCAATTTCTCACCACAGATCTGCGAACTTGGGTTCTGTCGCTCGCTGTTTACAGAAGGAGAAACAATCCCAGAAAGCCATGGTCGTTTTTTGGAAGTCTCGCAGCCAGGATGTGAAGACGTGCAAACTGGCTGTTTCCAAAGACCGTTAAGTCTTAGAAACCAGTCTGTTCGCTTCTTAAGAGCCCAGGTGCCAGGTTGACTGGTCCCAGCCCCTCCTTGCCACTGCCTGGCTGTACTGCTTTGCGCAAAGGGTTTCCCTATCAGAGCTTCACCTTCCCGTTCGAAAACTGAAGTCACAATGGCATCTACCTGTTGAAGAGGATTAACTGAGCTCCAGAGGCTATAATGTAAAATATATCAAATGATTATTCTCTAAGTCAATTGGCAAAGGGCTGGCCAACTTCATCCACGGCAAATCTGTGCACTTCTCTTTCCTTGTAGACATTCAATTAAGGTCTGAGTTTCAGGGGCTCCTGTGTGGCTCAGTCGGTTAAGTGACTGTTTATGGCTCAGGTCGTGATCTGAGGGTCCGGCATTGGGCTCCCTGCTCCGCGAGGGAGTCTACTTCTCCCTCTCCCTCTGCCCCTACCTGCCCCCTAGCTTGTGCTCTCTCTCAAATAAATAAAATCTTAAAAAAGAAAACAAACAAACAAACAAACAGACCAGCTGATTAAATAATGTAGCAATGTCAGTTCCTGGCTTTGACAATGCACTATATTTACCTAAGATATCATCGCAGGGTGGGTTGCAGGGTTGGGGGAAGCTACCTGTAGGGTACAAGGGGGAGCTCTCTGTACTATTTTTGTAAGTTCTTAAACAGTTTCAGGATGAAATGTTACGACTTAAAATTGTTGGCAGCGAGTCCCTGTACCCAGAAGAATCATTTTGCAATATCTGGTAAAGGAGAAAAGGAGGGTGCCTCGTGATCCAGCAATTTCCACTGTGGGCAGAAGACACATACCCTTGAGAAACTGTCCGATGTGTGCCTGGGAGGGCATATGTATTATTGCAACATTGGCCGTGATAGCTCAAAATTGGGAAGAGCCATCAGTAGAAAAACCCATGAGCAAACGGTGGCAAATTCTAACAACAGGGTACCACACAGCAAGAAAAATGGGTGAACTAACTCCACACTATGTATACACTGAATCTCAAAAACATAAACTTTCAGTGGGGTACAGTACAAACACTGAACTGTGACGGCTGTGTTTAATTCGTAATCAAGTTAGGAAGATCACTGCCCTGGGACAAGAATCCTGTGTGTTGAAGGTCTGATAAGGAACTAGGGGTGGACCGCCGGCAAGCAGATGATAGCCTCTCTGGGACCTGGAGTGAGAGCCAAGGGATTAACAAAGGGCATAAGACAATGTAGAATTTAGAGGTAGAACATCAGTGAATATATATTCTCTTGATGTCTGCTGGCAAGGGCTACCTGGCTGGGCTCACGTGGCCACACTGGGGGGGTCTGTAACCTGAAAAACACACCTGCTTCCTAGCTCTTACTCTCTTTGTGGAGACAAGCAAGACAATGGTGCTGGAAGCATGGCAAAGCTCTAAGCTTGGGCACCAGCACTTCCCAGAACTTGCAGGAAACACTGTGGGCAGACCTTGGAGGACGTTGAAATCATGGCAAAAGGGGAAGACCTGTGGCAGCCAGCTTCTAGCCAGGAATTCCAGAGAGAGCCTCTGGGGTCATTCCACAGCTTGTCCTCCCAGACAGAACACGGATATTTACTGAGCATCTATTTTGCTCTAGGTCCCTAGGACACGTCAGAAATGAGACAGTGCTTCGTTGTGTTCTGAGAACCCAGAACAGGCCAGCATGGTTGGGTCAGTGGGATGGAAGATGGGGCTGGGGAGGGGTCAGCAACGGTTTGGAGAAGACGTGGAAGGTTTTTCAGCAGGAGACAACAAAGATCTAACAGGCATGACTCACATATTCACTGAGCAAACATTTTTACTTTTGACTTGGTCGTGTGCTGGTTGATGTCCCAGGGACAACCTCGCTTTGCTCTCTGCCGCCCTCTAGTGGGCGAAAGAGACACAACCTGTGACAGGCACAGTAACCACCCCCTCCCAAAGACGTCCCTGCTGTAATCACCAGAATCTGTGACCATGCGACCTGACCTAATAAAACGGACTTTGCAGGTATCACTGTGAAGGCTCCTGAGATGGGGAGCTTTTCCCGGATTCTGTGGTGGACTCGTTGCAATTACAGAAGACCTTAGGAGAGGAAGGCAGGAAACTCAACCCGGGCAGAGGGACCTCAAAACAGGGCAGGGGATTTGAAAATTCTGTGCTGCTGGCTTTGAAGCTGGAGGAAGAGGTCATTAGGCCAGGAATGCAGATGCCAGCAGAAGCTGGAAAAGCAAGGAAACAGATTTTCCACTTGAACTGCCAGGGTCTTGAGTTCGAGCTCCAAGTTCGGGCACAGAGCTTACTTAAAGAAAGAAAAGAAGTCAGAGTCTGGAACCCAGGTTGGGAGTGGGGGAGAATGTGAAAGATAAACCTAGAGGGATCAACTGGACCACCTGGGCAGGGTCGAGGAGCTCCTCTGTGGGTGATAGAGTGTGAAGGTGAAGACAGCAGCGTTTTGATTAATAGAGTCATATCCAAGTGTTAGAAAAACCCTTAGGAAATTAAAGGTCACAACCACAGAACGGATGAGTGGACAGCGTGCCAGGCAGGGAGCAGAGTGTGCACTCATTAGCCGGTTAAAAAAAAATTTTGGGGGTGGGGTGCCTGGGTGGCTCAGTTGTTAAGCTCCTGCCTTCAGCTCAGGTCATGATTCCAGGGTCCTGGGATCGAGCCCCACATCGGACTCTCTGCTCAGCGGGGAGCCTGCTTCTCCCTCTCCCACTCTTCCTGCTTGTGTTTCCTCTCTTGCTATGTCTATCTCTGTCAAATAAATAAATAAAATCTTTAAAAAAAATTTTTTTTTTGTTTCAAATTAAGCGCTACACTCTACTTGGGCCTTGGACTTGCGGCCCTGAGATCAAGTGTCCCACGCTCTACTGATTGAGCCACCCAGGCGTCCCCCATTAACTCATTCACCAGAAAAATTTCAGCACAGATTCAGTACCAAAAAGAACTTCGCATGAACTGGATCCAGTGGACCAGGGTTCCAGTCCCAGCCTGGCCATTTACCAGCTGTGGGCTTTTTGGCAAGTGACTTAGCTTCTCTTATTCGCTTCATCTGTAGAATGGAGTTGATGACGGTGATTGCCTCACAGTGTTTATGTGAAGATGAAATGGGCTGTTACTGAGATCATATAATGTGCTCGGCAGGGCACCTGCCATGTTCCAAGTGCTACAGAAGTGTTCGCTGCTGTGTATTAGTGTCTCGCTGCTGCTGTAAGAAATGACCACCAATAGTAGCAACCAAGAAATCATTTTCCGAATATACATAAATAGTCAGAATAATCCTGTTGATTTAAGACTAGAACAAAAGGCCAGGCAGGGAGGCAGTGGTGGGGCGGAGGGGTCTTTGGGGCAGAGATGACCTGGTTCTTGACCATGTATGCTAGCCATAGATGCTGCTGTATGGGGCCACGAACTTGACAGACGTGAGCCTCCCTCTCCTGGCTCCTTTGGAACTTAGAGTCTCTGATGGAGAGAGAGTAAGGAAGCCTGACACAAAAGGGTCCTGGGCAGCTGGAATGGGGGACCTCCTTCAATATGGAAGTCACCGACAGGTGCCCGGGGACACTAATTGCGTAAATGTGATCATATAATAACAAATTACTGCTTGCTGATCTCAAATTTCAACCCAGGAGCCATGCTGTTCATGTGTATTATTATTGGATCCTTCAAAGAACTCTACCATTTAATGCCCATTTTCCAGATTGGCTCAGTGAGGCTCAGCTCCCAGTCTTCCAGAAGCCGAGTGGCTGTGGCTGCTGTTTGTGGTCATTGTTGGGGTTCAAGCCGGGACACACAGCAGGTCCTGTAACTTTCCAGAACCCTCCCTTGGATATTTCAGGATCTGGGAATTTGCGTTGTTAATGAGCCTCTCAGATAATTTTTTTAAAGTCCCATCAGTTCAGTAACAGGGAAAAAAAAAAAAAGTCCCCACAATGGCAGTGAAAACCCTTACTTCTGGGGTGTGTTCAGGCTTCTGCAAGTCTGGGATCTTACCAGCAGGCCAGAGACAAAGGCCTCAGTGGGTTTGTAACTGTCGCCCAGCAGCTCTTTGACCCGTCTCTCCACATCAGTCTCCAGACCCGCAATTTCCTCTTTCTGCGGGGGAGCTGCTCCGGGTCCACGCCCCCCGGTTGTAGCTCCTTACGATCAGACTTGACCGTGACCTTCCCTTGAGGCCTTACTCCATGCTGCTAGAGGCCCTTGCCTGCAGCCCCAGAGGGCCTCTGAAAGTAAGGAAGGGTCCCTGGGCCACAGGCT